CTCAGCCTGTGTTCTGTGTATTTGTGCAATTTAACTCAAGCCCTTAGCAAGCTATGAAACATTTCCATCACATTAGAATTTTGTTTATTGATTGATTGATTGGTACTGGGAATTGAACCCAGAGGCGCTTAACCACTAAGCCACATCCTCAGCCTTTTTTATATTTTATTTAGAGACAGAATCTTTCTAAGTTGCTGAGACTGGCTTTGAACTCTTGATCCTCCTACCTTATCGTTGCTGGAGAAAATTTTTTACCTGGTCAGTTCCTGTACCATTCCTGTACTTTGTTCTCTTCCCTTGCAAGTATCCATTGTTAGGATTTTGTTGACCACAGATTAGTTTTGTTTATTTTAGAAATTAATTGGAATCATATAGTACATATGCTTATATATGATGTGTATGCTTGTGTAAGTTTCAGCATTTGCGATTCTTTTGTGTGTTTCACCTCTCTGTTCCTTTTCATTGCTGATTAGTATTCCACTATATGAATATGAATATGCCACAGTTGAACCTTTACCTGTTAGGTGAGCAGTTGATGAGCTGGTTCCAGGTTTTGGCTGTTATGAATAAAGTTGCTTTGAACATCTTCTACAAGCCTTTTTGTGCACTTTCATTTAAATTTATTTGGGGTAAATGTCTAGGAGTAGAAGATCTCGAGTTGCAAGAGTGATATATTTTAAATTAGGGTCTTACATAGCTTTTTTTATAGTGGCCCTCCTATTTTACATTCCCACAGAATTCTAAGTACATTCTAACTGTTGGGTATTGCTAGTCTATAAGTTTAGCCATTGTATATTGTATTGTATGTTTTTAATTCACTTTCTCTTAAAACTGATAATGAACCCTTTTTCATAACCTTATTGGGGCCTTTAGTGAACTTGAATGCCTGTTTATTTTTCTTAATTGGTACATTTCCCCATATATTTTTTCTTATTTGTTGAATAAGATTAACCTGTAAATTTCCACAGTCTGAATTTTGCTGATTGCTTGTTTGATGTTTATTGATCCCTTTTAAAAATTGGGTTTGGTGTTTTAATTTCAAGAGTCCCTTATTAGTACTGTAGTGAGCTTTAAATACCTTTTGCTTTTAGGGTGTTCTCATTTCTTATTGTGTCAGGAATTGTCCATGCCTGAAACTTTTTTTTCCTTTTTTGTGGTGTTGTGGATACAACCCAGGGCCTCCACATTCAATTATTGAACTACATCCCCAGCCCTTTTTATTTTGAGACAGAATCTCACTAATTTGCCCAGGCTGGCCTTGAATGTGAGATTCTCCTGTCTCAGTCTCCTGATTGATTGGATTATAGGCACATGCCACCATGTCTGGCATAGATTCATAAATCTCCCCTTTTATGATTTCTGGTTTTGTGTCAGAATTAGGTATCTCAGTGAAATGATTCTTAAGGTGTCTGGTGGTAAGGCATAAAGGTGTTAAGCCAGGTAGATTAGAATATGGATGGGCTCAGTGACATTCACAAGGATAACCAAGTGCTTACTAGTATACACTAGGTTAGATCCTGGGTTGGATCCCTAGCACTGTTGGATGGGTAGTGGTGGTTGAGGGTAAGAATCTTATTCTGAAGCCTACAGGTAAAGTTAATAGGTATGTTCAAAGACTTCTGATCTCAAAACATCTGTTTCTAACTTCTACCATTTGACAGAAAATGGCAAACATTTGGGAATAAAGATCTAGAGTTAAGAGACTTGAGATATTCATAATTTCTGGTAGGCTTTCTGGTCAGCTGCCTGTAATTCCATTCATTCCTCATTTTCTTAAGAAAGTAAGTCAGGGAATACAGGTGATGTATCATAGTAGTTTTAAACCTGCTCCTACCTATAAGAATGTATTATTTGTGATTAACCTTATCATTGAATATGAATGATACTTTTGTGTTAGAAAGCGKTATCCTCAAAGGTAAGGCATTAATGCTTCCTGGAGACTTGTGTAGCCTTTTAATCGACTTGCCCACTGGAGGCTGGAGTTACTTCTTACCATCTTAATTAACTCTTAGGGAATTGATATCTTCAGCAATGCTTATAATTACTTATGGATTCTATTTTTAAATTAATTTTACATTTCAAAGATAATAAACTGAATAAAGTTTGTGTCTTTATGTGTAAAAATTGTGCTTGTCAGATATTTCGTTTCTGATTTGGTATATTGACTGGCTGCAAAAGTAACACAAAGGTAATCAATGTGTTAAACATGAAATCAACCTGTCCTTAGGAGGTTGAGAATAAAATAGAAGACCTTAATGTTTGACAGTTCTTAAGCCAACAAATTTTTAAGAATCAGTGAGAGTTGACCTTGGAGAACATTTGGGGAACTATATTAAGCTAAGTTATTTAAAAGAAGTTGTACTATAAATCCAAACAGGGCCACTTACTATACTTCTGAAATATGATTCTTTAAAAACACTTTACATTTTTTTTTTTTTTTTGTTATCAAAGCTGAATGAAGCTGTAGTGGACAATGGCCCAGAGAACTACTTAAAAACCACTAGGCCATATCTGGAGTCCTTTCAGGGAATGGGTAAATTCCCTTAAAGAGTTTCATAATACATTTTTATTTTTATTAATATTTATTTTTTAGGTTTTTAGGTGGACACAATATATATTTTTTTTAATGTGCTGATGCTGAGGACTGAACCCAGTGCCTCACGCATGCCAGGTAAGCGCGCTACCACTTGAGCCACATCCCGAGCCCCCATAATACATTTTTATAACTTAATATAAATGATTCTAATCATCACATTTCTACATCTACTTAACCCTGAAAAGTCCTTAGATCCTATTTGGACATAAATTGCTTTCAGTGAGGTTAGTCAGGTTTTATAAGGTTAGATATATATGAAAGCAGTTTAAAAAATAAAAAAAAAATTCTCCTCTTTTGTACTAGGGATTGAACCTGGGGTACTTTATCTAGTCCTTTTTACATTTGAGTCAGGGTCTTGTAGATTTTCTGTGGCTGGCCTGGAATTTGGGATCTTCATGTGTCAGGCTCCCAAATTGTTGGGATTAATAGGTGTGTGCCACTGTGCCTGGCTTAGTTTTTTGTTTGTTTGTTTGTTTTTTGGTACTAAGGATTAATTTTAGAAGAGTTTTAGATACATAGGACATAAAAATAGTAGAATTCCTACATACACCTTACCTGTTTTGCCTACTATTATCACACTGTTATATAGTATATCTGTCACAAGTAAGGAATCAACATTGACAAATTACTTTTCCACACTTCAAATTTTCTTAGCTTTTTTCTAATACCCTTTTCATTTTAGGGACTTTCACATTACATTTAGTTATATAGCCTTAAACACCTCAGATGTTTTGTTTTTGATGACTTTGATGATTTGAAGGAGCAAAGGTCAGTTATTTTGTAGAATGTCTCTAACATGGGTATTTTTTTTCTTCTTCTGCTTGGCCTGGAGCTTTTTGGGAAGACCATTCTCTTCATATCACATTAAGGGGTACATATTATCGATGTCACTGCAAATTCTGATGACCTTGGCCAGGTTATTATAATTACTCTTCTCGCCATATCTTAATATTTTGAAGGAACCTACTGAACACAATCCATACCCAAAAGGTGGGGAATTAAGCCCATTCACCTTGAAGTGGATGGATATACTTACATAAATTGAAAATTTTCTGTTTGGGAGATGTGTCATGTCTTTAGGCTATACTCCTATAATGTTACTTTGTTGCTCAGAATGTTTCATTTTTGGCCACTGGGAGATTCTTCAGTAGACTCTTTTGTCCTTTTTGTAGTCTACACTTCCTTACTTTCAGGCAATACAAGATGCCCCAGACCTGGAACCAGCCATTTTTCAGAGAAGCCCTTGAACTCCTTTTCAATTTTCTTTTTTTGTGGGACTGAGGATCAAACTCAGGTTTTGTGCATGCTAGTCAAGTTCTTTACCACTTAGTTATATTCCCAGCTCTCCTCTGGCTCCTTTATTTTTATTTTATTTTTTTTTCTAGCAACACTGGGGATTGAATCCAGGGGTACTCTACCACTGAGGTACACTAGTACTCTTTTTGAGATAAAAGCCTCAATTTGCTGAGGGTGCCTTGAACATAATGTGATCCTCCTGCCACAGCCTCTTGAGTTACTGGGATTATAAGTGTGTGCCATCATGTCTGGTTCTTTTGTTTTTATGGCTGTAGTATTTCACTGTGTGTATGTTATATATATATATATATATATCACATCTTTTTGCTACTATGACTAATGCTGCTATGAACATGAATATACAAATATCTTTAGGAGACACTGCTTTATATTCTTTTGGATATATACACAGAAATGAGCTTACTGGTAATCTGTTTAATTTTAGAAACTGTCATACTGTTCCCAGTCACTGCACCATTTTGTATGGCAACATTTTGTAGTTTTTTTAGTGTATAAAAAAAGGCTAACTAGCTATGTGCAAAAAAACTTTTTTTTTTTTTTTTTTTTGGTGAACTCAGGAGTGCTCTACTGCTGAGCTGCATCCTAATGAGACAGGGTCTTACTAAATTGCTGAGTCTGGCCTTGAAGTTTTGATCCTCCTGCTTCAGCCTCACAAGTTGCCATTATTCTGGCATGCAGCTCTGTGCAATTCTAAACGAAAACTCAATTAATTAATTACTTTTTCTTCCTTATATTTCTAATTATGGAGTTGCCTCTTTTCAATTTAATGCAAAACTTAATTATAAAATAACATTTGCCAACTAAGGATAATTCCCATTTTGTTCACTTTTGTTCCCCTCATTCTGTGTGCAGCACCTAAAACAATGCTGGCTCATACAGATACCCTATTCCACCCACCTCCCCCACTAAAAAAGGAAGGCCCTCTCAGACACAAAATTATTTAAAGGAAAAAGGAGACAACAAACTAAACTAGAATTATTAATTTTTATTTTCCTCAGGTATTCTTAAACTTTAACTTCACCATGTAACAGTCTAGACTTCTGGAATAACAACTCTTTCCCAGACTGTAACCTTTTTCAGAGATAGAATTTATCAAATAACATGGTTCCAGGATGTTTTTACTCCTGAATTCTAAACCAGCCACAGAATAATTTCTTCTCAGGTCTTAATTGGAATAAAACAATCTAGACATATATAACATAATCATTTCTTTCCTTGCTCAGTGCACTTGCCTTTTTCCAGTCTGTTACTAAGAGAAGTCTGAGTATCACCCTTTCCAAGAAACCAGTCTGCCAGTTCTGATTCTTGGTTCAGAATAAGGAGTTCCTTATTCAAGGAATAATTTAATAAATATGAACTAACTGTTCTCAGCCATCAACAAATTAAACCTGCTTTATACTTGACTTAGCTTTGCTTACAATACTGCTTACAATTTCCCTTATGATACGGATAGGAAGGAGGGACTGGGAGAGAGATGGCTTGTTTTGTGGTAGGGGACTCTGAAAAAGGCAGATATTTACTTTTGAAGTCATTAAGTGGAAAAACAACAATGTTCTTTCTTGTTCTAATAATGAAAATACTTGTAGGTCAAGACCAGAAAATTCTGATCCTGAATTTATAATATATTACACAATATTATTTTCAGTACATTCAGAATTTATATTACTCTCTAATTTCCCTGAGTTGGGGTTCACAGTTTGGTAGAGATATGTAAAGAAGAGGTAGTTAGTGGGAGTGAAGAGGAAACAATGTTTATGTCTAGCAGCACCTGGGAAAATAGGTAACATCATTTTGACCTCAGTTAACATTTATCTTTCCTTCTTGAAACAGCAAATGTAATAGAGGGAGAAGATCACTTTTCTATTTTTTTTTCCCACCCTGCTGTTCTGGGGAATCAAAGTAAGGGTCTTGTGCATGCTAAGCAGCCACTCTACAACTGAGCCACATCTCCAGCCCCTTTCTTTAAATTCGTATATGCTTGCACCCTTCTTATTATATCAACCCCATACTCATATAAAAATAGCCTTTCCAAAGGTACAAAATAAAATAACCCCTTCAAATTGGGGTTGTTTAGATTTACAGAAGAAAGGCTCAACTCAGTAACTTTTTTTTATTTATATTAGGGAAATTGAGCAAAATTTCCAGCAAACCCAATCACTGCCTTTTTTTCCCTGGACCTTGTTTACCTAAATTATTCCTATCAACTTAGTTGATTTTAAGAATTGGGCTTTAGGGGTCTTGACATCTAACACAGGTACAGAATGCACCTGTGTGAGTGATTGGTTCAGGTCTCTTCTCCAGTCTTATGATGGGCTGGTGGAATATTGCTTCATCAGCTGCTTGTGACAGGGATTGCAAACTCGCTCAGGCTTGATACTTGAGGGAAGAGGCAGTTCGTTTGTTGAACAAGCATTACAGAAGGTTCCTCTGCAGTTCTTACATACATTCTACAAGGAGAAAAGGAGGTTAGGTGGGAAAAAGAAGAGGAAGGCATAGAATGCATGGGATAGAAAGGCTGAATATTCTAAGTGCTCAATGCCTAATCAAGTGCAGGCTGAATGTCTGCTAGGTACCAGGTAGTAGCTGACTAAATTTAGTTCTGATCTACAAACAAGTTCACAGTCTAAGATCTAAATGTTATTAGATCTAAATGAAGAGAAGCAGCAATGCCACAACACTCAAAAGAACAGGCAACACAGAAATTGTTCAGTCTTTGGAATACATTTCATACTTGTGATCCTGACATTCATTTTCAGTGGGGCTAATTTAGTGCAAGTACCTAAGCACATGCACTAAGGCAGTGACCTAGCAATGGCTTTGGTGAACAGCCTAGGATTAAAAAAACTGCTAACTTTGAACCGAAAATAAGATTCTGAATACATTCATGTGCTTAATGCATTCTTGTGATGCTCCACAAGCACATCCTTTGGGATATCAATGAGACAGGCCCATAGCTGGCTCCATCATGTTTATAGGGAAACTCATCTCTATGAGTCTTTAGTGGCCAAGCACTGGAAGTCATGTTTGTCACTATGGCAGTGTCACTGCTAAGGTTGCAACCAGGAGATATAGAGCTCATCATAAAAGGTTGTGAAGAATAATTCCCCCCATGAAATACTGCTTTCATCCCAAGCAATCTTCCTGAGGGTGCAGTGGAGTGGGGGTGGGGGTCACTTTCATCTGAAAGCCTGAGAAACCTTTTCCTATGACATGTTGAAGTTACTTTGAATGGCTCAGAAAAGCTGGAATTTGATTAGCAGTTTCTTCTCTTTTGGCACATCTTTCTGTAACTGCAACTTCTAATCTATAAAAGCAGTTCATCCATTATCTGGTTCTGCTAAGCTAAGACTAGGTCACAATAATAATTTTGTTTGCTAAARTTCAGAATGATAAAAAATGGTGATGTAATCCAGAATTTAGGCAAAATTCTCATGTCTTCCAAGCACTTGTTTTTTTTTTTATAGTCATTTGTACTTAACATTTCTTGAGCATGTACTATAAATTGGGTACCCTATTAGACGCTGAGGATACTGTGGTTAGCAAGATGCAGTCCCAGTTGTTGAGCATTCCTTTCTGAATGCTTCCTTTACTCTGTCTACACTCTACTATAATAAACTAGAAATGTACTCAGGCAGAGACCTAAGGATCATGGGAAAAACAAGTGGTCCAATGGGAAGAGCTCATTTCCCTTTGTTCTGAGCTGGATGAAATACTAGAAGTCACTTTGGTAAATGCTGTATGTTTAAATAAATTATTTGCTTAAAATTATATGTATAGTTATTCATATAATTTGCCAACATGAATTACTATGACTGAAAAAAAAATAGGTATCTGATAGATGCTTGCTCCCTTGGCTTCCTACCTGACTCTTGGCACTCTGCTCTACACAACAAAGTTCCTGCTATTCCTGGAAAGGGGATAGTGGTGCAAAGAACATCTTCATGAAGAACCTGTTCATTTCTCTCCACTTACCTTTGATAGGCTGTCATCCTGGCATAGCTGACATATCTGTGGCTTTTCAGAGAGCAGCGGCTGATCCTAAAGCACACAGTGAGTCAGTTACTTTCCCTCAGCACTAGAAACTTGAATGCTTTCAGAACATGCATTTTCTTTTTGGTTCTGGGGATTAAATCCTGGAGTGCTTAACCAGTGATCCTCATCCTCCCAGACCTTTTTATTTTTTGAGACAGGGCCTTACTAAATTGCTGAGGCTGGCTTTGAACTTCTGGTCCTCCTGCCTCAGCTTCCTGAGTCCCTGGGATTATAGGTGTGTGCTATGGTGCCTGGCCGGAAAATGCATTTATATATATATTTAGCTATTGTAGCCACACTCAGACTATCTGGAAACTAAAGAAACAAAATTCACATAGTCCTACCACCTTTGATATAACCCTAATACTATCCTTACAGCTTTTAATTTTTATAATAAAACAACATGGTTATACTTCTAAATAGAAAATTTAAGCACAGAGAAGTATAAAGTAAAAAAGTTTTAAAAACTGCCCCATCCTTGTTTATTCTACCATCAAAAATAGAGAGCAGTGGGCTTCATTTTATATCCTAATAGCTAAGTCACAGAGTAACTCAAGCACAGAGGCATTTATGGTCTTTCTTGTAGTGTTATCAGACTATATTTGTATTCTATAAGCATTTATGTTAGTTTATTTCTAACTGATCTTTTTTTCCTTTCCATTTTATATAAGGAAAAACTAAAGGAAAGAGAGCAGAGGTCTCACAGTATGTCAAGAGAAGTGAGAACTGCTGTTTTCTTAGCAAGTTGCTCAAGGCTGTGCTACTTTCTGACCCTTGACTTACATTATGGTTCTTGTTTACAAATAGATTTGGACTTAAATTTTACATCTCCTTTTTACTAGCAAGAAAATAGTTGGCATTTATGTTTTCCAACATGTATGAAAACTTTAGGCAATCCATTATTTAGTACATTGTTGAAAGGTTGGTACACAGAGGATATACCATTTATCTTTTTCCCATACTGTTTACTGGCTAGGCATAGTGTACCAACTTCATACTTTTAGAAAAATGGGAGGTTCAGTTACCTGTTCATCTGTAGGGTGGGACAGCAGCCTACAATATAGAAACAAAAAATCATAACAAATATCAACTTAATATATTTCCATTTATATCATCTCAGTAAATGTTCAGAAGACAAATAGTTTGTCAAATAAGCAATACTGGAGTTCTTTGATACTACTAGGAACAATTGAATTATTAATTTTGCACTCCCAGATTTTGGACATTTTGGTTAAGTCTATTATTAGAATCTGACACTTGACCTATATTATGGTTCCCATTTACAAATAGATTTGGAGTTATAGTTTATACTTCCTCTTATCTACCAAGATAAGAGCATTCTTTTTTTTTTTTTCCTTTTAGTTCATGTTGCTAAGAACAGAACCCAGGTCTTTGTGTATGCTAGGCAAGCACCCTACCATTGAGCTATATTCCTAGCCCAACATTAATGTTTTCTAACATGTAAAATTCCAGTGGCCCATTAGACATATATTTTAATAGCTTTTTTTCTATCCATTATAATGGAAATCTATCCATTATCCTATGTCATGTATCAGTCTCTTCTCCCAAATATTCATAAAATGTTAGCTTTAGCAAATTAATCAGGGAAAGGGAAATGAAAGAGATTGTCACATGAAAGTCCATTCAAGCTGTTCTATTTCTTCATTAGACTACATTGAGCTAATCCCGACTTCCCTACTTGGAGCAGAACCTAAAGTAGAGAAGGTACTTTTAGTTGTGGGGAAAGTGTGCCATAGGTTGATAATTGTTCCATTTCTTTTTAATTGATAGCAGTGTGATCACAAGACTAGGTTATACCACGTGGGGACGAGATTTTCAAATATTCCAGGGATCACAATTTCAAGAGGACTGGTGTGATTCCATGATTGCAGTTCTGGCTGGAATAGGCCCTGGAAGTTGCCATTATGTTGTACAGAAACAAAGGACTTAAAAACAGAAGATATGTGATAAGCAAAGGCAACTTGCTATGTCACCTAGCCTCTCTGTGACACTCAGTTTTCTCATCTGTAAAGTAGGAATGGATGGTTTTATTTTTGAAAGAGAATTTAATTTAGAAGGAGATACTGAATGTGAAACACACTTTCTAAGCCACAGAGCACAATACAGATAGTATAAGGAAGCACTGACTTATATTCCCAGGGCCTAAATCAGCACTTGGCATTTAACAGACACTCTTGATTCCAATTAATAACTAGATTTTAGACCACTAGTAGGCTGACCCTGAAAGGCACTTGGAAGGCCAATTTTACAGCCGAGTACCCTTCCCTGTGCCTATGCTAATCTGTAATGTCAGATGAGCTGTATCTTTTTTTTATATATAAATACATGTTTGTTCTTTTTTTGTGTGTGCTATTGAGGGCTGAAACCAGGAGACACTACCATTGAGTTATAAGCCCAGCCCATTTTAATTTTTTATTTTGAGACAGGGTCTTCCTAGGTTGTGGAGGCTGGTCTCAATCTTGTGATCCTCCTGCCTCAGCCTAACAAGCTGCTGGGATTACAAGCTTGGATCACCTCTTTGGGCTAGATTGACTGAAGTTTAAGGTTAGTCTTGTATTAAACCATGTTCTCTAAGAGCACAACTAAAGACTTGGAAATCATGTTGTCCTTAGAGGCAAGGAAAGGATATTTTGACTAAGTCTGTGATAGTCAACTTACCATTGGATTATGTGTTTAACTTCCCCAGCAGCTACCTATGCTTTAGAGAGCAAAGATGACACTCTACCTCATTCTTAAGGCATCAAAAGCCTGGGTAGGGAAAGCTTTCTAGAGTGGACACTATAGAGGTCTTTCCAAAATCCTTTATGGTTTTCTTTTCTCATCACTAACTTCTCCCCCTGCTTTAAATATACTTAATTTTAAATTCACAGCAAAACAGAATTGAAAATACAGAGACTTCCAACATACCTCTGCACTCCCAGCTTCCCCTAATATCAACATGCTGCACCACAGTGGGTACATTTGTCACAACTGATGAGTCTACATCAACACATCATCATCACCCAGAGTTTATAGTCTAGATTTCTTGGTGGTACACATTCTATAGGTTTGGACAAATGTGTAATGAAATGTATCCACCATTACAGTAGTGTTCAGAATAGCTTCATTACTTGAAAAATGCTCCATGATCCTCTATGATTTCATCTCTCCCTTCAGCCACTGGCAGCCACTGATTTTTTTTTTTACTGTCTCCATGGCTTTGCCTTTTCTAGACTGTTACAGAGTTGGAGCTTCTTCATTTTTTGATGCAGTGGCACTATATATTTTGTTATATTTCTAACCTGCTAAATTACTGTTAAAAATCAGCTTCCTTGAAATAATTCTGTTTTACATAGTGAGAAGATCAGACACAAAGTTAAGAAACGGAAATGAAGTTAAGCTGTTTCAGACACTTAAGAAAAAGAAATAAGAGAGCAGCAAATGTGAATATCTATTTGAAACTTAGCACATACGTGAAAAGAAGTCATATTCAGGAACATTTAAGAACCCAAGAAATGCTATGATTTATGCTACATTCTCCTGGGACACCAATTCAGTATAAATGAGAACAAATCTTTAAGTGATTTGAGTTTTAGAATTAATCAAGTAAGAGTCAGAGGACAGCCTGATTACCCTTCTTTGTTCTGAAATGACCTAATAAGTTTAGTTTAATTAATACTGTTATCTGGTTTTATTATTTATTCACTTTCCCCTCCAAATGTCTTTCTGGCATATTAATATTAAAAGTCAGTGTTTTGCCTGTGTCAGTGCCAATGTATATTAAATAAGCTCCCTCTTTCCCACTGCCCCCAAGTGACTTTGTATCTTACTTAATACTTAATTAACAAACACCTGTGGTTTTCTTCCAAGGACTTTTTAATTTTATCATTTTCCTCTTGAATTTTGTACTTTCCATCCTGCCAAAAGAAAATAGCCCAATTTCAAAATTTATCTTATTTATGAGTAAAGTAAGTTCAAAATACCTATATATCAGTTACTTCTTATGGGTTTTTTTTTTGTTTTCCCCTGACTGAGCTCTGCATAACTGGTAAAATCAAGCACAAATGTATCTAGCAGACCTGTGTAATCCTCTGGGAATTCAATCAAATAGATGCCTGAATGCTACAACAACTTCTACAGCCTATGTATTCAGAGAGTTTTCTACTCTGAAGAATGAAGTAAAGTTCCACCTGCATAGTGATACCAATGCTCTTAAGCCCTGTCTGGGCAGTTTTTAGGGACAAATTCTGTGGCATGAGAACATATATGTGTACACATACGCACTGCTGCATGCCTTGAATTGCAGTCCATCTGCTTCCAAAAGTGGAATCTGTGTTCTCAGACCATTTAACTATCAAAGAAGGGAGGTTAATGTACTATTTATCCTTCTAGAAACTCTACTACAAGGCAATTCTAGATTGAAAAACTTAAACTCACTGATAAAATAAGGTAAGACTTAAGTAAACCTTTGTAACTCCTTCATATTTTGATATTTTGTTCACTAAACTTAATAAAGATAGCATGCTTATATAAAATGGCTCTTTACATACTTTAGAACATTAGCGGTGGTTACTATTACAATGCATTTACATTTACCATTTTTTTTTTTTTTTTGGTATCAGAGATTGAACCTAGGAGCACTTAACCACTGAGCCATATTCCCCAGCTCTTTTTAAATTTTTTATTTTCAGACAGGGTCTCTCAAAGTTGCTTAGGGCCTTGCTCAGTTGCCAAGGCTGGTCTTAAACTTGCTATCCTCCTGTTTTAGACTCCTGAGCTGCTCCCATTTAAAAAAAAATAAAATAAAATAACAAACTCTTTGGCAAATTAACAGCTCATTCTCTAGAAATTTTAAATAAGAATCGTATATAGGTTTTACTTTATTATATATAATAACATACATAAAGGAGCCAATTTCTTCTCTGTGTTTGATACAAAAAGTACCTCATGCGTTTTGGACTTCATTACTTGAAGAAATTGGCTCTTGTTTCCTAGTCCCAGAGATATCTTATCCAATTTTAGCCTCCTCACCACTGCAGGTGCTAGACGACCCTCCTTTTAAGAATGTTTGGTAGGAATTTTTATTTCTGCTCTTTAAAACCACTCTGTTACTTTCCCTTCCTTAAGCCTTGTTCCCTCTAATTCTTTCTAAAAGAAATTCCTAGCGTATGCTCAAACTGAAATCCTCATGACTTAGAAATACTAGCAGAAATCCAAGAAGCATGTTTTTGTTAAGCTACCACAAAAATCTTAAAAAATTATTATTAAAATCCCCTTTCCAAATGAAATCATGAAGACTCGGAATAAAGCTTTCATCTCTCCAGTCCAGCTCATTTGCTGTCTGTATACCAGAGGCCATAGCAATAAGGTATGAAATCCATGGGCTCATCAAGGTAGCCTGTCAAAATAAAGTAAATAAACAAGAGAGTAACAAACATTACCACCTTGGCTTCTGGCTTCTGACTCTTTTCTGGGGTGCTCCTGTTGTGTAACCTTCTTTCTTTTTCCTGTTTTAGTTCTAACTCAAGCTGGTTCCTGGGATAGGTGGGAAAGGAAGATTGAAAATTTGAATTTCTGTATTCACATTCCAAACTCTTCTTTTTTAAATATTTCTTTTTTTTTCAACTTTTTTTTTTTTTCCAAATCTTTCTCTTAAAGTTGAGTAATTAAGTTTCTTTTGGGGTATTGAACTTGGGGGCACTCGACTACTGAGCCTTATTTTGTATTTTATTTAGAGACAGGGTGTCTCACTGAGTTGCTCAGCACCTCGCTTTTTGCTGAGGCTGGTTTGAACTCGAGATCCTCCTGTCTCATACTCCTAARTAGCTGGGATTAAAGGTGTTTGTCAGTGTGCCTGGCCAGTAATTAAGTTTTGATGAATTAAAAGTTACCACACATATATGGACAACTAAGCTTTAAAGTACTAAAATACAATAAAACCAATAATATTAAAAAAACATAAAACATGCTTAATCTTTCTTGGATGATTATGGATATATTTTAGGATTGCCCAGTACCTGAAGGGCAACTCCTGAATATTTTATATTTTATATGAACTCTTCATTAAGAGTTGTGGTCACTGAAATGACAATAGTATTTGCCATAACCAAAAGACAGCATTTATAAAATTTCAGCAAGATATAGTATCAAAGTATGGTTATTATAGATCCATTTCATATTAATTAGTTGTTCTCTCTTAAAGTTATGTCCTCTACCCTCAAACACTACTGATCTCTGTTGCTATAAGCTTTATATCCAACAAAGTTCTATTTGTTTGGAATCAGTGACTTAAGCACAAAAGTGAGTCACATCTGAAATATAATATGGAATAGTGGTTAGTGCTGGAGTCAGAGAAATAGATTTTTGAATGATAGTGTTGTCACTTATTAGCTTAGCTGTCAATTTAAACACATTTGACCCTCCCAAGCTTTAACTCCATCTGAAAGTGGGGGCAACAATATAAACTACTAAAAGGATTGCTGTGAAAACACTGGGTGTGGTGAAGAGCTCTGTAAAGCACAGGGCACACAGGAGGAATGCAGGAAATACTAACTAATGTTATTATTGCTATGTTGGCTATTCATTACTATTTATCTAGGACCCCGCACTCAAATTTCCTAATTCTTTAATTACAAAGGATGTTGACAGGATTTAGGGAATGGTGATATACGTGAAGCTAACGGAATTCCAATCCAGGGAAAAGACAGTAGCTGAGATGGCTGTAAGTCCTGAGATGCCCTTCTTGCTGTCTGGCCTTAGAACTCCCCATGACCACCCTGTCAGCTCAAGCTGCCCTCCCTTCACCGCTGCCTGGTGAGCTCCTCCACTTCCAGCTGTAGACTGTTGATCTTGTCTCCGAAGTCCTGTTTGAAGAGCCGGTTGTCCAATTCAGCAGACTGGCGGCCTCGCTCAGCCTGGCGCAATCTGGATGTGAGCCATATGAACTTGTGATAAAAAACAAAAGCCATGGTGGGGAGGAAGACCAAGTTCACAACACAAAATAAAATAACCCAAGGAGGAAGGCATGGAGAGAGAAAGAAGAAAAAAAACTTTGTAGGACACAGGGGAAAATATTATGAGGGAAAAAAAAGATGGAGAAGAAACAAATTCTAAAGAAAAGCAAGATGAAGGTGAACCAGGCAGAGGAAAATTTTCCAATTTTTTTTTTATTCTAGCACTACAGTTTACAGTCATTAGATGATCAACAATAAAACATCACTTTTTAGAAAATCCATATCCAAAGCCAACCTCAAGTACATAGTAATTTGAGTTTAATTCATATTTTGTTTTTATTTCCTATTTGATTTGGTACTTTTTATTCGCTTTACATACATAACTGGAACTTGTAATTGGGTAACTATCTTAATAAGTGGAATTATAACATTTTTCTGGTCTTTTCCTCAAACCACATATATTAAATCATAGGACATTATACATCAACCTTTAACCAGGCTTCAGGTTATTATACAAGGAAAAGCCTTTTTCAGAGTTTGGCTGACTCTTTCCATTCCATTTCTACCAAGTCATGTGTGACTATGTGGACAAAGAATTTAGCACTGGGTCTTGTAAGACTCCTGGCCACATTCTCTGGATGATTCCAATGGATGCTTTCTTCTAAAGTTATAATTTTGCACCTATAAGAATCATGTTTTAGAAGGCAAAACACTTGGAGCTTTATATAAAGGAACTTAGAAGCATGCTATGTGTAGTTTAAAAGTTTTTATTTTCATGTTTGAGTCCTCCCTCCAAATGCCCATAGAAAAGGCAACTCATCACCACAAAAGGTTGATGTAGATAAGAATGTAGTAAGCATTTTATTTATATAGGTGCAAAATGATAAGAACTAATATAAGCTCAAGAGCACAGTATCTTTCATAAAGTTGGCTCTAACATATGTTCTTCAATTTGATTTTGGTTCGAGTCTGTGTAAGCATAAAAACATATGAAATCTATCTTACTCTCTTAATTCTGGTTTTGCCAAGTAGAATGTAAAGAATTTCAAGAGCTGGAAGCAAATGGGTTGTCTTTGTCCCTACCTTAGCAGCTGAAATGCTGTGAAGCATACCAGATGAAGGAAAAAAAAAATAAAACAAACAAACCCAAGCAAACAAAATCCCAAATATTTTGACAAGACCTTTTGACAGAACAAAGGCTTACTAAAAAAACCTGTATCCCCAAATCAAAAGTCACTTTAAGAAAAAAAAAATCAAGGTATTTATACAATTATTTACAATGTAAAGCATAGAAAGGGTTAGATTGGTGGTCACTTAGAAAAAGAAGCCCTGCTAATATTGCTTGTGGATACCTACTGGGAACTTTTATATGGACACAGTATCTTCATTTTATCTATTTATTTTATGTGGTGCTGAGGATCGAACCCAGTGCCTCACACATGCAAAGCAAGTGCTCTACCACTGAGCTACAACCCCAGCCCTGGGAACTTTTATTTTTATACTAAATAATAATAAAGAATATGCTTTATCATTTATTTCTTAATCTGAAATGTTTTTCTAATAACTAAATTGTTAGTTTCCCAGAACCATTAGCAAACCCATCTAAACAAAAAGTAACAGAAATTCTTAATAACAGAACTAAGGAATAACAGGCAGGAAATCATTATTCATATATACGCCTTATCCTCTTTACTCCAGTAGGAAAAGCAGGATAGAACTGAAAAATGCATAGTGCTTTTTGTTTATAGGAGAAGAGTGTTTTCATTAAAATTTTTTCTCTCGGAGCTAAAGTGGAATTGCAGAAAAAGTGGCAGAGGTAGAAGATGACAAATATTAGGAGATTTTTCTCAAGCTTCCATAATATGATGTTATCATAAGTTACCTAATTATTAAATTGATCTCTATGTACTTTAAAGAAATATAAGGATGCTTTTCTTTGTTGTTCAAAATCACTAAGGCAAAAAAGTTGCAAGCAATCTTGGTTACTGAGAATAGAACTATAATGAAATACTAAGCACTTATCCTTAGTTTGGGGATTAAACCTACATAACAAAATTGAAAAGGGGTCATGGTCTAAGAGACACAACTACTTTAGAAGAGTCCAAGTTTACATGGTAGTCACCTCTAGTTCATTACATTGCAATGACAGAACAGGCTTGCTGATACAGACATTAACAATGCACCTAGAATCTGATATTACCAAGGAATGGGTTGTAAAGGCATCATTAATATATATATATACAAAGCCTCAATTCTCAGGGCTTTTCTTTTTAAATGCTATTTTTATTTATTGGTCAACTCAGAAGTAATTTCTCAGTTTATTTGTCATTTAATTAGAAATTTGCACCAAATTTCTAACTCTGGGGAGAAAATAATAATAAGAAAAAAAACCCCAACCTATTTGTCCAATTGTTATTTTTAAAAGTCTAACAAATACAAAGTCAACTTTTGGTGACATTTTTATGGAATCMGAGCTTAAACATAATAACTTTCAGATTTCTTCCTTTTACAATTGACTTGTGATATAGTGAGGTGACCAACTGTAAAATGCCTAATGATGTTTTGGGATCAGTTTATTTGCTGCACTATTTAAGGTCTTTGCCTGTTTCACCAAATCTTTTTCACTAGATGAAATAAAATAAAAATGAAAATGAAGTGAAAGGGAAATGAGGAAATGAATAAACAGGAAACACAAAGATAGCAAGAGAAATAAGTCAGCTTGATATTCAGAGAGGTAAGTCATATTTTATTCTCTCTGCTTTAAATGCCAAGTCTAAATGAGTGAAAAATGTGATACATCTCAAAAGTACAATTTAGAAATACTAAAATATATTTGGTATAAACATATAACTGCCTATGAGCAAGTACTTAGCTTACTTTTTTTTTCTATAGATACTTTTTATTTATCACCCATATTAGAGGTTTTGAGTTTATTTATAAATCTGCAGTTAACTTTTAAGTTAACAATAAATATGCACTGTTGTTTAGTACCTTCCCTCATTAAGAATCATTGGAATAAAAGAAGTCACCCATTCATCCATTCATTCACATATCTACCAAATTTATGCCTTGTACATTTAAGATACTGACAGATCCAATGAGGGAACATTTTTGTGTCTGTGTGTGTGGTACTAAGGGTTGAATCTAGGGCCTTAAACACAGTAAGCAAGTGCTCCACTACTGAACTACAACTCCAGCCCTCCCAATGAGGGAGCTTAAAAGATCTTAAAAGATTTGTTAATTAGGGCTGGGGATATAGCTCAAGTTGGCAGAATGCCTGCCTTGAATATACAAAGCCCTGGGTTTAATCCCCAGCACCACCACCACCACCAAAAAAAAAAAAAAAAGTTAATTAATCTCAAGGAGCCTATTCTCTCAAAGGAAGGTATGTATTTAAAGGACTATAAGGTAAAGCAGACAGTAATAAGTGCCACTAAGTGGTAAAGATAGAGACAGATATAACGCTATTTCTAGCTGAAAATAGGTATCAGAAGAAGCTTTGTCTCAGCAGCTCAGGAGGCTGAGGCAGGAGGATTGTGAGTTCAAAGCCAGCCTCAGCAATTTAGTGAGGCCCTAAGGAACTCGGAGAGACCCTGTCTCAAAATAAAATATGGTTAAGTGCCCCTGGGTTCAATCCCCAGTACTGAAAGAAAAAAAAAAAAAGCAGCAGCTTTAGAGTGTGCTTGAATGGAAAAAATATATATGAAGAACAAGGAAGCAGGAAGGAGAAGATCATTTCTAATTGATGGAACTCTCAGCAAAGCAATGGATGAAAAAAGGGGAAAGCATATCCAGGAACCCATAGTTTGTTTTTTTTCAAGTGCAAAAAGGGTGATAAGTAGGTGTTAAAGGTGGAAACACTGAATGACCCTGGGTGCCATGCTGTGTTCAGTCCTGAAATCTTAGCCACGTTTCTCTTGGCTGCTGAGTCACCAACAGTAGTTTCAGACAAATGGAGAATTAAGAACATATCATAGAAAGAGAGATGCTTTGGGCAGAGAGAACTGAAAGACTGGTGGGAGATGGTGGTCAGAGAAAGAAAACTCAAGACCAGTCTCCTGATGGAAGTCAGAGAGGAGACACACACTGCAGATGTCAGTGGAAGCTAAACAACTATTTCGGAGCCAGTAGACAGCAATGGGAGATGGGAGAGAAGAGAGAAAAAGGGTTAAAGAAGGGAAAGATCCATAACAGATCTTTCTATTTCTATTTCTTTTTTTTTTTAGAATTTTAACATTTATTCATTTTTTCTTAGTTCTCGGCGGACACAACATCTTTGTTTGTGTGTGGTGCTGAGGATCGAACCCGGGCCGCGCGCATGCTAGGCGAGCGCGCTACCGCTTGAGCCACATCCACAGCCCTCTATTTCTATTTCTAAACCACCTTTTGGAACCCCTAGGTCACCTAGTGCCAAAGTATTCCAAGACTTTAGTGAGGAACAATAAAATCACACAATTATAAACACATACTTAAAAATTCTTTCATTCTTGAAAGTATACTTCTAAGACTCGTCAGTGAAATGGGTTAAATTCCCATTTCTAATATTCAAAGTAGTCAGGACAGGCTGACTGACATTTCTTAACAATATTTTCAATGACATCTTAAAACACATAAAATTCAATTGGCTTTCTTTCTCCAGGCATGGCTGATTAGGGTTGGAAGAATTTCATATATTTTTTATTTGCCCAAAGCAGAGCATACTCTCTTCACTTTTAGCACTCGCAGCTCAAAGTATTTCACTAAAGGAATAGCACTTTTTACCTTTGTTCCAGTTGTTTAATGGTAGCAGCCATCTGATTAGTCTTCTCTTCCAAGCGACTGTTTAGTTCACTTTTCTGTTTTACTCCTAAGTCTGAACTCTGTATAGAAAATAATTATAGACTATAACATAAACTTCTTAATTATAATCACATATGCTTTTTGAACCTGATGGTAAGGGGAAAACAGAGAAATATAAATGCTCATACATTTCCAAACAGGAACAAACAAACAAACAAAACAAACCCCAAATCCCCTAAACAAAGCTCCAAAAGCAATTTGGTTAAAATCAGTATTATTTATATGCAACCTTATCATAATATCAGAAGGTTCATCAATTTATCATGTTCCATTTAAAATCTAATGGAATACATAACTCAGCTGGCATCTTAAGATAGAGAGTATAAATTGTAGGATGCAAAAAGACCCCAACCAGCTTTGCAATATGAAAAGTGGGCTTGATTTTTCAGAACACAATAGAGAATCTTATGAGAGTCTGATCCTTTTTTTGTATGTGTATGTAATACTAGGGATTGAACCCAGGGCCTCATACATGCTAGGCAAGTGTTCTACCACTAAGCTACATCTCCAGTCCTTTTTAAAATTTCATTTTGAGACAGTCTTGCTATGTTGCCCAGACTGGCCTTGAAATGTGATCCTCCTGTCTCAGCCTCCCCTCAGCTGGGATTCTGGGTTGTGTCAGTGCTTAGTGACTCTTCCCTCTTAAAGTGTGATTCTACAGAACAAGAAGGATGGAGGGGAGCTCCACTATTTCAGAAAGCTGGTGAATCTATTCCTCATATTTCCCCTACCTGCAGCTTAAAAGCAAGTTCATGCTTGAGAGCCCTGAGATCATCCAGCTGCTGCCGCAGAGACACCAGGGCATCCTGCTTCTCACAGACATCCTTCTCTAGCATCTTCATAGCCAATTCCATCTCCTGTCTCATGCTGATCTGGATCTCCAACTCTTTTTCAACATCCTGCCACCAGAGGTAAATGAATTGATTATACTCCCTTTCCTCAACTAAGTACAACCACAAAATTTCACAGGAAGGGTAGACCAAAACCCTCAGGTCTGAATATTCTGGTAAAATAGCCAAAAGTCATCATTCATTTTCAGAGACATTAACAATAAGAACAATTAAGTATAACATCTGTTTGATAATGTACAAATCTAAAAAATTACTAGGTTAAAGACAATGCTATTTATGGTCAAAATATGCACACAGTTGGGGTACTGTGACAATGCATAAGTCCTATTATAGAAATATACATAAAGTGTTATAGTAGAAGCACAAATTGAAGTAGTTGCAATTCTCTCAAATTTAAATGTTGATATATTCAAGAACCCAAGGAACCCAGAGTATATTCTGGGTCCCCAAGGATAAAATCTCAATTATTAGGAATTATCAATACAGCTAACTGAATTTTTAGATTCACTTAACATGAAACTCCTTTTTGTTTCAACCATTATGACTGTAACATTATTCAGATCAGCAAAGATACAGAGACCTGAGTTGTGTCTAAGATATATCTAGCACCTTGCCTATTTCTTGCCTTCTTAACAAATATTTATCTTATTTCTTATTATGATAAAAGAATACAAAAATTTTAAGATTTTTATTATGTGCTACTTAACTGAGACACCCCTCTTAACATGATTAGCACGATATAAAATGAATCATGCTATATCTGAAAATCTGACACATTATTTCTAGGACCTTCCTTGTAAGAAGTATTTTGAGATCAATTTACAAACACATAGAAGGCAGATACTAAATAACATTACTATGTTTTCCGACAATCTTAAGTTCTGCTGTACACTGTTAATTTGTAATAACTTTTTATTACATATTAAATCACCCCTTATTTTTTGTCTTTTCCCTAGTCTTAGAGACACTATGGGGGGGGAGGGGTCCTTTTGTTTGTCATCCTATCTGAACTTCAGGAAGAATTAATATGCTAATAGCAAGGTTTATTGATACTTATGAATCTTAAACACATACTACACATATATATTTTAATTTCTAAGAGTAATACTGGACAATAAAATTTTCTCTATATATATATATTAGAGTGAGAATAAACTCAGGAATAATAGGTAAAAATAAGATAATCTACATTCATGATTCCTACTAAGGGGACGATGTCAAGCTTTGCAGTGGTGAGGACTGAGGGAGGAGTGGGGATAAATAAGTTCTATATACCTAGTGTTCCTGAAATATAAACTGAAATATAAAGAAAAAAAAAAGCAGGGGGTAGTTTTGAGAAAGCCACACAGGGAATGTGGGTTAAAAAAAAAAGTTAAGAAACAGTTTTCAGAATTATAAAAGAGTTATATATAGAATACTACTGATATTCCAGATCTTGGTCTATAAGGTAAAATCTCTTAGGCCATTTCATGTGTTCCTGAAATACTAGAATTTAGGCAAAGTTTACCAATCGTAATTGTGTCTCCTCCTTTAAATGCTTTCTTGCTTCACTTAGTGCTTGTCCTTCTGCAGTCCTGTCTTGCTTAGGACCCTTGAAAAGAAATAAAGTATTGAATATTTAGGGATTTAAATAACCTACATAGCATTAGCAGATACTGGCACTGCTATTTAGTAAAGAAAAATGATGATAGATATGGTGTTGTGCTGTGGGGATGGGAGATGAATTTGTAAACCCTGGAGCCAGGTTCTGCATACCCAAGGTCGCTGCTGTGTGGAGACTGGGTGAAGCCACCATCCCCATGTCTGATCAGGAAGCAAAACCTTCAGTCGAGGATTTGGAGAACAGTAATACATTAAACTCAAAGCCATTGGACAGTATAACACTGAGATTCACTTTAAAGTGAAAATGACAACACATCTCAAGAAACTCAAAGAATCATACTGTCAAAGACAAGGAGTTCCAATGAATTCACTCAGGTTTGTCTTTGAAGGTCAGAGAATTGCTGATAATCATACTCCAAAAGAACTGGGAATGGAGAAAGAAGATGTGATTGAAGTTTATAAGGAATAAAAAAGGAGTCATTAAATGGTTTAGATATTGTTTTATTTTTTTTCTTTTCCCTCAATCCTTTTTTATTTTTAAAAGTAGTTCTTTTGTAATGTGGTGTTCAAATGGAATTGAAAACTGGCACCCATCTCTTTAAAACAGGGTCTCACTGAGTTGCTTAGCACCTTGCTTTTGCTGAGGCTGGCTTTGAATTCATAATCCTCCTGCTTCAGCCTCTGGAGCTGCTAGGATTACAGGCATGCACCACTCCACCATTGTTTGTTTTCACTGTGCTGATTTTTTGGTGATCAAACCTCAGCTCCCTTCGTATTGCCCTCTCCTTTTAAAAAATTACACATGTATACAGAGATGCCACCTTTTTCAGGACTACATTTTCAGGCTTGTGGTGGTAAATAAGATCGACCAATGTGAGTACCTATAATGACTTTCCAATTGGCCCTGAAGTTCTAGCACATGATTGCTTCATTACTGGACTGTGACTTTCAGTGGGAGATGGAAGTTTTTCAGAGAATTGAATTGTGGGAAAATGACCTTTCCTTAAGTTGATGCTACTTTTAAAATCTGAATATTTGGACCAAAAGAGGAGGAATAAAGCTTTGGAGTCAAGATGACAGATATGATGAGAGTAATGACGAGCTCCAAAGATGGCTTCACTGAAGAGAAAGCATTTTAAGATTAACACCAACAAAAACAACAATCTTGTCAGATGACCTTGGAAAAGTTCTAATTTTCATTAGCAGTTAATAAAGTTATTCATGCAGAAGTGTATACAACAGAACACTGCTCCTCTGATTTTATTTGTACTTTTGGCCTGGGATATGGGTTTTAATGGGCATTGTATCAGCTTCATTAAAATAAACAATATTTGTAAAAACCTTTTAAAAATGATGATACCTAAGCACTTATAACAATGAATGAAGACAGTAAGGAAACTGAAGAAGTCAAGTACATTTAAAAAGTCAGGCAGAATTGGAAGTTTCCTGCTTTATTTAAAAATCCTAAGATAAGTTAAGGAGACAGAGCCAGACATGGTGGTATAGGCCATAATTCCAGCTATTCAGGAGGCTGAGGTAGGAGGATCATAAGTTTGAGGCCTCAGCAACTGAGTGAGAGTCTGTCTCAAAATAAATAAACAAACAAACAAACAAACAAATAAATTAATTAAAAAAAAAAAAAAAAAGGGCTGGGGCCTGGGGTTGTGGTTCAGTGGTAGAGCACTTGCCTAACACGTGTGAGGCAATCCTCAGCACCACATATAAATAAATGAATAAAACAAAGGTCTATCAATGTCTTAAAAAAAAAAAAAAGGGCCCAGGGATGTGGGGCTGGGGTTGTGGCTCAGTGGTAGATATAGTGCTCTCCTAGCACATGTGAAGAACTGGGTTCGATCCTTGGCACCACATAAAAATAAATGAATCAAATGAAGTTATTGTGTCCATCTACAACTTAANTTATTGTGTCCATCTACAACTTAAAAAAAAAAAAAAAGCTGGGGATATAGCTCAGTGGTAAAGTTCCCCTGGGTTCAAGTCCCAGTATTAAAAAACAAAAAACAAAAACCCMAAAAAAAAAGTCTTAGGTGTTTTAAAAATCAGTCTTTTAATTAAAATAACATATTCACTTTAAAACATGAGCTGGGCTAAAGGTTCAAATGATACTATATTAATTCTCCAGAGATCTCATATTTAGTGTCTTACAAGTATCCGGAGATCACAGCTAAAAATACATAGGTCATCAAAGGCTATTCTGAGCATTCACAGTAATTTCTTGAAGTCTATGCATTAGTCAAAGAACCTACACATACAAAACTGCTTTTGTTCCTACTCAGAGCAAATTACTTGTTAGGAACAATTTTAATAATTTAAAATTATGGATATAAATTATATCCTCTAATTAAGGTAGCTTGGAAAAGTACCAAGGTTTACAAAAATTAATTAGACATATATAAAAATTTGGTCCTTTAGGAGATAGTTATCTAGAAAATTCATTTATAAGGTAACTCCCAGTGATATGATATAAAGGAAGTGTCACTTAACAAAACAGTAACAGCACAAAAATAATGGCATATTTAATATCACAAATATCAATTAATTATGGTACAAATCCTTAATACAACAACAACAAAAAAGGAACAAAATTAGATTTTCTTGAAGTTAAACATTATGTAGGTAGAGTGAAGCCAAGGAGCATGATGTAAGGGAAAGGGCAAAACCTCTCCATTCCTTTTATCATGCACTCAATTATGCATGGAGACAAGGTAAAAACTGTACCTGATATATGCAAATGTCTGCATCTCCTCTAGAGACTCCCCTCTATTGCTAATACATCACATACACTCTATGAATGTTTTATAAATCCAGTTAATATTCACCTTTCGATTGGATTCCAATATGTAGGAGCTCTCTTCTTTAACTCTTTCCATTTCTTCTTGCAAGGTAATAATTCTGTTGTTTGCGACTGCAAGCTGTTGGTGAAATTTTATTTATTTTTGTATTAATAGCATAAAATAATTTATGATCTGCTAGGCAACAATTTTTAGGCTTGAATAGTCTTAGAAATAAAGAAACTATTTATAACCCAATGAAAAATGTTCTTAAAAGAAACTCAGGAGAAATATCTTTAATGTAGGTTAAAAAAAAAATCTCCTGGGCTGGGGTTGCAGCTCAGTGGTACAGTGCTTTCCTAGCATGTGCTTGCTTAGGCACTGGGTTTGATTCTCAGCACTGCATATAAATAAATGAATAAAATAAAGGTCCACTAACAACAAAAAATATATTTTGAAATCTCCTGTTGCTGATTTTTAAATAAAATTTTTAAAAAGTTTTCATATATTTATTTATTTATATGGTGCTAAGAATTGAACCCAGTGCCTCAATACAGCAGCAAAAGAACCTCAGTAGAAATGTTTGTGCTGGATTGCTTAAAACCTTGTGGGATAGATTTTAAGGGTCATAGCCATAAATTAAAGTTTCATATATATATACTCTTCATTCAAAATTAAAGCCCACAGAGCTGAGAAACAGGCATTTAAAATTAAAATGTTTGTTCTGAAGGAATAGCATATTCCTGATCAGTGCATCAATTTGATTTTGTTTAACCAAATTTATCTCACTGAATACAACAGGTCCATTATAATTAGAAACAGAGAAGACAAGCTCTTTGCAATAATTTGGATAATTTTACTTGAGGATTTTCATAGAACCATCTAATGCTGCTGGGTGCAGTGGCATACACCTGTAATCCCAGCAGCTTGGGAGGCTGACACAGAAGGATTGCAAGTTCAAAGCCAGCCGTGGCAAGTTAGTGAGACCCTGTCTAAAAATAAAAAATAAAAAGGGCTGGCAATGTGGCTTAATTTTAGAGTGCTTGCTTGGAACACATAAGCCCTGGGTTCAATTCCCAGCAAAACACACACACACAAACATACACGCACACACACATCTGATGCTATTAAAGAAAAAAAATTGTAGCTTAGTCTTTGGCAAATTAGGGAAAATAGCTTCATTAATCAGAAGGAACATATGAGGTTATTTTTTTCTTCAGGAACTTATTCTAAGAGCTTTCACATATCTATTATTATCTGATCTTCTAAGTAATGGTGAGATTATAAGGGGGAGTATAAACACTCCATTTGCCAGTGAGGGAATTGGCCTCTTAGAGGTCAACTGACTCAGGAGCACATGACATATAAATAGCTTAACAAGTAAGCAGAAATTATTGGTCTTTTGACCAGTGATCTTTATTTTATCTTACTGTCCCAAGAAGAATATAAGAATATAGAGAGTAAGAAGCTTGCCTGTCTGAAACACATAAATCAATGCCTAACACATATAAATCTTTGTGTAATTATAGCACCTAGTGCCTAAAATGTTATTTGAATGAATAAATGATGAATATCATGCTATATGCTAAATATTTACTCTAGGACAGCTCAGACAAAACATTTGCATAAAAGATACTTAGAAAACATGCCTATGCAGTCTAACTGGGTTAAATGAGAATCCCAGGATAAGTCAACTAACCAGTCAGGTAAAAAAGGAGTTATATACTATAGTAGATATATTTGAAAAGTCAAATCCTTCATTTCTAAGGTTACATAGAAATTACTGATTTCATTAATATACATTATTAAATTTTATAGGTCAAAGAATTTCCAAAACACTTACCTCCTCTGTGAGTTTAGTGTTTGATTTTTCTAATGCATCTACTTTTGCCTGAAGGTTGTTTACAGTAGCACTACCAAGAGAAAAACAATGGTCTCTTTTGAAAACAATACCCTGAACTTTCCTTTTGAAACACCCATACTTATCATTCATTCATTGTCTAATGTCTATAATTTTTGATAGACTATTAGGCTCTAAGACAGCTTACAAAAGGCTGTGTCTGCCTTAGCTGCTGTATCTTTGGCATTAGAGTTCGTATTAAGTATTTGTTCAATAAAAAAAGAGCTAATGAGCTACATGTAAATTTCAGGTTTTACCTATATAAAGCACAAATAGGCTATATGAATTAAATGCTTTACATGTACCAAGCACTGTTCTAAATTATTTCACTTGCATAATTTTATTCTTTCAACAGCTCCATGTGTTAGGTGTCTCCAATCACAGATAAAGAAACTAAGGCATGGAAATTAGAAAAAATAATTTAATATAAGAGTCATGTTTATATTTTATTATCAGATGTAACTGTATCTTTGCTTGGGTGATATCTCCATAGTTCATTATAGTCATGATTATTTCTTGGTCCCCAGAGAAAATAAATTGCTCTTAAATTTGTTAGCTGGAATGAAGACTACTCAAAATTTATACTGATACTAGTATAAATATAATCACATTGTAAGTCAAATTAAAAATGGCTTTCATAACAGAATTTATAAAAGTTCTACAAACTACAAAAATTATAATTTTTGTATGCACTAATTATTCTTTGGAATTATTAAGCAGTCTTTACAATAACAAGAATATCAACATATTTCAGAATATCAATAGTTTTTAGATTACTGTCCTCAGGACAGAGGAAAATTTCATTTCTGAAGAGTTCTGAAACTCCTAGGTGAATGCTTGATAAATTAATGGCAGTAATGGTGAAGAGAGGGTTAATTAATATCTCAATTCAAATGTATTAGTGAGAAACACAAGGGACCCAGAGATATATAGGAACTAAATTACTGAATTTAGTTTAATACTAAAATATGTGGCTTTATCACTGCACCAAGTAGGCTGCCAATTTCAAATATCTGTACCACACATTTTAAAATTCTTAACTGAATGTATTTATTTACTCAATCACTAAATTACTGTTTTATAGTCTCTTATATTGCTTTTCACTAAGGGTCCCCCAAACAGTTAAATCTCATTTATCTAATGTCTAACTCAGTGCCTGACAATCAGGAATTCTATATTTATATATTTGTTGAACATTGTCTGAATTTATCCTCCTTGCTTATCATTTTATACTTCCTTTCTCTCCCAACAAAATCCCAGTAAAGTAATATTATTTATTCATTCTTTACTTCAGATGTCTGTTGAGTTCTTCTACATAGTTCTTCTGGTCCAGAATTGCAGTTATTTGACCATCCCTGGAAGAAAAAGAGAAGTAATAAAAATAAAATAAATAACGATAGAAACACCACCCATCTCATCTTTTCATAAAACATGAGAAGAAAATTGGGGCACATATAGTGAACAAAATAAACATGATGTATAATAACCCTCTTCACATATCAACAAGAAGGACTTGGAAGTTTAAAAATAAAAGTCTACATTAATAAAGCCCCTGCTATAGCTTATAAATCTTTTTTTTTAATATTTTTTTCATTGTCAATGGACCTTTGTTTTATTTATTTATATGTGGTCCTGAGAAATGAACTCATGGCCTCACCATGCTAGGCAAGCACTCTACCACAGAGCCACAACCCCAGCCCGCTTATAAATCTTAATAACTTAGAGAAGTTTCCTATCAGTGGCATTTAAGTTTAAAAAGTTTTTTTCTTACAAGTTAATACATTTTTTTCAGCTTCACTAGTATTATTCATAGCAAAATTTTTTTATTCCCCATAGGAAATGAATTAAACTTACTAATAGTATAATGTAGCTGTTCCCAAAGGCTATATATTTACCTTTAAGTGCTATTTTTTATTCAAAGCAAGTGGTAAAAAAGGTTTGTAAAGGTTAAGTGCTTATTATTACAAGGGAAATAAAGTGTGGAAAAATGAGGTTCATTTAGAACCAACTAACCTATAAAAGGCACAAGTTCAAATGATATACTTTTTCTTTCTCTCTTTTGGCAGTGCAGGGGACTGAACTCAGGGCTTCCTGTGTGCTAGGCATGTGCACTACGGTAACTGCTCTAACACTGAGACACATCCCCAGCTCCTACAGATGACATAAGCTTAAACTGAAAGTCAAAGATTAAAAATATCAGACTACTTATGCTTTCAACTGCTAAATACATAAAGGATATAAGGTATACTTCTGATCTCTAATCAGTAAGTACCACAGTATTTAAATTTTTCTATTTGAAATAATATTTGCTTAATAAGAAAGTTGTAAAGTTGTACAGAGTTGCCATATACCTTTCACTCAATTCCCTCGATGTTAATATTTTATATAACCCCATGCTGCATATTTCATATTGCAAATTTTAAGCAACTGACATTGTAATTCCTTTGGTCAAAAAGATCATGTTTTCAAATATTACTTTAAGAGATGAAGAATTAGATAATTTCATAATTTTAATTTTGTTTGCCTGAACCACACAACAGAAAATTATTTAAACTAAATGGATTTAGTAGGAGGCACAAATAGTCAGATATTTTTAAAGCTATATCATCAGAAATTCTTTTGGCAAGTCAAGTCAGTTAAATCCGTATTGTTATAAACTTTAAATATGACCAAAGGGGGAAAAAAATACTACAAAGGAAAAAAGAAATCTAATTTTCTTTGCACATACCCTTCACTACCTTTACTGCTGTTCCCATCCTTGAGATACATTGAAAAATCTATAACTCCAACCTACAGAGAGAATTTTCAGAATTTAATACAAATTTTGATGTTTTTTTCCAAGGCATAAAACAATGTCTTTTTGTAAGAGTAAAACAAAAAACAAACAACAATAAAATGTCTCTTTCTAGGCACTCAATATAATAAAATAGTCATGATAATCACCAGAAATTTTTAATACAAACACAATGTTTTGCTTTTTTTCCCCCTTTCCGCACTGGGTATTGAACCCAGGGCACTCTACCAATGATACTTCCCAGCCCTTAATGTTTTACTTTTAATATAATCAAGAATTGCTGTGAGTTAGAAGTATAGGATCAAGATTATATCAATAGGACTAGGAAACCAGATCATTAACTGAGACAGTCAACAGAATACTTAATGTATATAAGGTTTAAAGTTTCTTTCTCTTTTACTTATTTCAGGCATTCTGCTACTGAATTTCTATTTGCTTTTAGGGATAAGTTTTTAAAAGTTAAATTATAAAAATAATGCACATTTCCCTGTGGTGTCTATTCTTTCAAAGCTTCATTGATGCACATATCTTCATTTTTCAAGATTTGCTATTTAATTATTCAGCTTATTCAGAATATTCTAGTATAATTTTTTTAAAATCAAGATTGAGTCATATTTTGTCTTATATTTTCTCAGAGTAAAACCTAACAGAAATTAATCATAATATTTCACACAGAAGAGGTAAGAAATAATAATAGTGAAAAAGCAATTACTGGGCAATTAATATGTGCTAAGACTAAATCTAAGTGAATTATGTGTATTAATTTCTTTATTCCCCACAAAACCCCATTAATTACTCTCTCTCTCTCTCTCTCTCTCTTTTTTTGTATTGGGGATTGAACCATGGGTAGTGTCTTAGGGTCTCCCTAAATTGCTGAGCCTGGCCTTGTACTTGTGATTCTCCTGCTTCAACCTCCTGAGTCACTGGGATTGTAGGCTAACATGCCTAGCTTATTTATACTCTTAAAAAAAAAAAATCCCTACATTATATCAAGGAATCTGAGGCACCAAGAAACTAAGTACCTACATAATTTATTTAGCTAGAAAATGAGGAAGACAATTTAAAACTAAGCAAACAGTTTGGCTTTAGAGTCTTTAATCTTAAAGACCATGCTATACTGGGTTGCTTTTTTTTTTTTTTTTGGATGATACTGGGGATTGAACCTAGGTGCACTCTACCACTGAGCTACATCCCCAGCCCTTTTTAATTCTTTATTTTGTGACAGGGTCTCACTAAATTGCCCAGGCTGGCTTTGAACTTGGGATTCTCCTGCCTCAGCCTCCTAACTTGCTGGGATCACAGGTGTGTGCCACTTTACTGGCTTTTTAATATATTTAACAGCAATTGCAGCCAAGATAATAAATTTGAAAAATATTCTAGAAGACAAAAATCTAATTTTTCATACATCAAAACTAAAGGAAATCCCATTTATGATTCTCCTCTTAGTTGATATAATCTAATTAACCCAATTCCTGAGATAACAGAACCCAAAGTGACACACTTGGTTAAATGAGTATTATTTCCATACCTGAGAGTCCAAATCTTCTCCTTTCATACAAAAATTTGCATCAATGACATTCAGACCCACCAACAGACCAGCAATTATAGCTCCTTCCTCTTCCATCATGAGGGCATTTGGTTCATAGAATTCACTGTAAGAGAAATACAGAATATTCTACTATAATAAAACCTCAAAAATCCAATGATATAATCATGAAGGAAAGAGAAAAATGCTTGCCTCATGGTTAATATGGTCATCTATGATAATAGTGACAAAGTTTTAAAAGAAGAAAGTGTTTCATAAATATTTTATTTTAGATAGCAGGTGCACGAATAGACTCTTCAGATAATAAGTGATCTGGTTGAAAAAAAGATGATCAGATGGTATTTTTATTGAAGTGAGTATTTAGATTTTTCTGATAGATTTATATTTGTGATGCATCACTGGATACTTCTGAAATCTTTTATGCATTTTAAAAATTTATTTGGTTTTATTTTTATTTTATTATTTATTTATTTATTTATTTATTTATTTTGAGAGAGAGAGGGAGAGAGAAGAAAAAGAGAGAGACAGAGAATTTTAATATTTATTTTTTAGTTTTCGGCAGACACAACATCTTTGTTTGTACGTGGTGCTGAAGATCGAACCCGGGCTGCACGCATGCCAGGTGAGCGTCCTACCGCTTGAGCCACATCCCCAGCCCCTTTTGCCTATTTTTATATTGCTTATATGTGTTTTCTTACTGGATTGGTAGAGTTTTAAAATACACCTTGAATATGAAACTTTTGTTGAATATATGAATTATGTATTAGAATCATCTTTCACTCTGTGAAAGATGGGCTCTTTCTTAATGTTAAAGAGTATCTTGATGAATCTAAGTTCTTCATTTTAATGTGGCCCAAATTATCCATTTTTCTTCCTTTACAAGTAGCAAAATTTTGCATCTTAAGAAAATTTTGCCTTCTTTTTCTTTTAAAAGTTTTATTGTTTTGTCTTTCCTACTTACATCTATGATCCATCTGGAATTTGGGGGCTGTTTTTAAATTTAATGATACATGTCAACTTCTTATCTTACTGAGCCTGGGCACACACTAAGGTGTCAAAGTCTTATCTGTTTTCTGGAGGTATTAAGGTTTGGAATGCCCTGCAAAAAACCATGTATGTCAGAGTAATAGAACACACATAGTATAAAACATCCATTTGGAAATACAAATATGTGAAGTGTGATAGTAAATATTAGTGAAATTGTTATGAGTCAACTATTTCTTATAAAATGAAAAATTTGTATGATTCAGTTTTATGACAGAACACATCAAGGGAAAAAGAAAGTTCAAAAAGGTCTTCATACCTGAGAAGTTCCTTCTTATTGATCAAGGCTTTCATATATTCTGAAAGTTTCTTTTGCATTAATGCCAAACGAAGCCAGGCTCTTCCTCTGCCTACTGGTGTCCTACAAGAACAGAGACAAAATGACAAAATGACWAAAAATGTAAGCAACAGAGGCAGGGGTCACTGTGGAACAGATTCACTTCATTTTCCAATGATCTCCCAGTATAATGAGCACATTGAGGTGTTCCTCATATCCTGTCTCAATACAGTCCTATACTGGGAATTCTGTGCAGAATAGTAAGATCCAGGAGTGTGTTTAGGAAAAATGCTCTTACAAAGAATTAATAACTGAATGAGGGCACTAGGATTGTAGCTTAGTATAGAGTGCTTGCTTAACATGTACAAAGCTGAGTTTAATCCCTAGTACTACCACCACCACCAAACAAACAAACAAATAGAGAGATAAATAAACAATTACTTAATGTGACTACTTCCCAGACTTACTTCTGGGAAGCCCAATTAGAAATGTTCCATCAGATTAGTATTGATAAATACTCCCAGATTTAGTATGGGTTATATAAGGACCAAACACAAATGTGAATTCAGGCAATTTAAACTTCTATCTGATTAAGATTAAACCAATCTCATATGGGAGGGTGATCACTACTCTTTTTCAAGTTCTAAGACAGGCTGTAGGTGTCAATTCCCGAGGTTCACTTGATATCCGATTTAATATTGACTTTAGAACCCCATCAAATACATTATTTCCCTAAGTCAACTCCCTAGATTGAATTTCTTGAGACTCATTGATTCTCACAAGTGTTTTTTTTTTAAAGATGTTAGGCTGTGAGTATAGCTCAGTGGTAGAGTGCTTGCCTACCAGGTGTGAAACCCTAATTTCAGTCCCCAGTATTGGGGTGGGGGGTGGAGGAGAACTTTGGTATTTTAACATGAAGCCAACCTCTTTTAGATGAATGATTATCCTTCAAGAGCACACTTTAAGAAAATTTTACATACCAGTTCTCTTACTCATAACATTATGCATTTTGTAATGTTGTAAAAATGATCATAGGTATTATTATCTTTAGTATTATTCTTCAAGAAATAAGAATGTTGTTCTTGAGAAACAGAATTCAACTTTAGACTTACTTAAGTCCTGGAAGATCTTTAACACTTGCTGTTATCTCTGCGGCTTCTGGAACAAGTTTTTCTACCAGTTCTAGAGGACCCCAGAAGGATTTATTTTGCCCAAGAAACGTCTTCTTGGCTAAGGTGACAAAAACAACGCAGTATTTTAAATATTCTTTAAAACATAAATAGTCCCTCACTATACACCCCACTACATACCTCCTATCTATTATATGTCTTTTTCAGGAATCCAATCCTAGGCTATTAGACAATTATAAAATTATTCATGCTTTCAGAATACATAAAATTTTGTGAAAATATTCTCTACTTCCTAAAATACACAGTCATTCTTTCAGAAAGAATTTGTGACCTAGCCTCATAATACCAAAATTTAATAATTACTAAACCATCTGGTATTAGTAAAAAAAAAAAAAATAGTCCAATGGTAAAGACTGTTTCCCAAACTGAATATTGAGAAGGGAGAAAGTGAAGGTGAACAAGTCTAGGTTCTGCTTCAAAAACCTTAAATAGAAAGAGTAGTGAAACAAAAGTCAGGAAACCTGAATTCTAGCACCTGCTCTGTCTCTGTGTGACCTTGGGCAAGTCATGACCCATTATAGGCAGGCCTACATTGCCTGCCAATTGGATAGAACTGCTGTACTGGATTTAATTACTTATAATGGCGGTTCCAATTCTTAACATTTAATAATCTGTATTTTTTTAAGTCCTATAAGTCTTTTAAGACAACCATAGCTCTGCTCCCATACAGGTTGCACTCCAATGGATTAATTTTATTAATTCAAGTCTTACGGTTTAGCTCCTCAAAGAATACTTTCTTTTTGACTATGTAGTGCTAGGAAACAGCTGCATACACATTTACATTTTGAGGCCACAGCCCACCTTTTAAGCCATGTTTCAGACAGTGTTCCATCACCACGAAGAACTGCTGCAGGGGTGCATAATCAGAGTCTAGAGTCCTCCCCAGGTTCAGAGCTGATTCAATCAAACCCTTGATACTCAGCTTGGCCATGTTCATCAGGTTCATACGTTCATTAGCCATGAGATAATTTGGATCTGCAGCCAAAGGGGAGAGAATGAAGTTTGGTTACTGGGAATTGTAAAATCCAGTGGGATTTCACCAGGGTGATATTTGCACTGATGGTATAAAAGCAATGGTAAGTAATACTGGTGGTGACTTGTGATAAAGCAAGGAAGTGGCACCATGCTATAAAACTTATATGTTCTTCTTGGCCACGTACTTGCTGTGAAAAAAATAAGATGTTTACTGCCCTTTAGAGCATCTTTGATGAAGCAGTAAAATTTACTTTTTTTTTTTTTTTAGCCTTAAGTACAGTTTTTTTATATTCTTACCATCACCCCATCTGGGCACCCATCATAGCTCACTACTGTGCTGCCTTCACACTGGTCTCTCTGCTTCCACTCTAGTTTGCCCCTCTCTCTACAGTTTCTTAAGTGTTCTAAAAATAAAGCCAATGTAGGAAAAAACAATAAAGTACTTAAACTTCGTTATTAGTATTTATACTAATCATCATTTTTTTATTTAAATGAAGCATCAACATTATTAGTATAATATGGTAATAGAACTTAACTTCTGAATTTTTAAGACTTAGAATTTAGTGTGTGGTTCTCAGAACCAAAGGTAATCTATCTGAGGAAAGTGACTAAGTACCACATTTTATCTGACAGAACTCAGAACAGTCTAGGGACTTACCACCCTCATTTATTGGTGCTCAACCTGTACAAGGCACTGTACAGGGAGAGTAAAGCTTAACTTAAGCTTACAAAGAGAGTAAAGCCTCAACTGCTCTTTCTTGACTCAATATATGATCTTGCACAAGTCACATCACATTCTATGTCTACTGAATAGCTGTAGCTGGTCCATGGGCACAGAGAGTCATCAGTGATCAAGCCAGAGTCCAGATCCCATGTGTCCAACTCCAAACCATGTGCTCTTAAGCACTATGATCTACCTTTAAATGAAATTATGACTCCAAATAATGTTTATCCTTTCCTCCTCCTGATCATTCTTTTATATGATGACCTTATTTACTTATTACTTTGCTATTACCACTTAAGTATTCTCCCCTTTTTCAGATACTGAAGCAGGCACAGAAGAGTATAGTGGTTCAAAGTCATCAAATGGCAGTATTTGAACTTAGATTTGACATGAAAGCAAATGTTCTTTCCATTATGCTACATGTATCTCAAAACATCAAATTTCTATTAAAAACTACAAAAGGCTGGGCATGTTGGCCCATACCTCTAATCCCAGCGACTCAGGAGGCTGAGGCAGGAGGATTGTGAATTCAAAGCCAGTGTCAGCAATTTAGCAAGGCCCTAAGCAACTTAGCAAGATCTTGTCTCAAAAATGCCTGGGGATATGGCTCAGTGGTTGAGTGCCTCTGGGTTCAATCCCTGACTCCCTAAAACAAAACAAAACAAACAGACAAAACAACAATTACAAAATCCCTCACCCCAAACAACATCTAAAAAAAGGCCCAGAGGTCTATGAAACACTCCATTTTTTCTTAGGAAAACTAAAGTACTAATTAAACCATGTGCTTTCATAACACAGATAATGCAGTTAATATAAAACTATTTTATGAAAATTATCCCAAATAATTTTGTTCACACAATGTTTTCATTTATATCTGCTTTCACAGTTAAATGAGCAGAGTCAAATTCTAATCTAATTTTCTCCGTTAAGTTTAAGGGCGTCCACATTTATAGTTCCAACTACACAAATTTTGGTATGTTTAGTATTTTCTCAGGTAATATACATATTTTTTAAATATACTTTAGTTGTCAATGGACCTTTATTTTATTTCTTTATATGCGGTGCTGAGGATGGAACCCAGTGCCTCACACATGCTAGGCAAGCGCTCTACCACTGAGCCACAACCCCAGCCCTTCAGGTAATATTTTTAGAGAAATACTTTATATGAAAGTAAAAATTTATCCATATTCCAATTAATTATTTCTCACATATCAACAAATGTTTTAGGACTATGGTTCAAATGCAGCTCTCTTGGGTCATGGTAGATCAACTTGTCAAGGATACAGGAAGGAACTGGTGGTGTAGCTTGGCAGTAGAGTGTCTGCTTAGCACGCACAAGACTGTGAGCTTGAGCCTCAGCACAAAAACATACAACAAAAAGGTAGAATAAGCTCATAGTGAAATATACACAAAACTATTTTCTGAAAGACATCCATTAAGAATAACTTTGTCAAATATTAATTTCTACTTATTACCAGCACTTTTGTGTATTACTATGTTTCAGACTTTCTCTAATCACTGGGTGTATGGGCATGAATGTTTGTGGAGAACAACTGGACTCCCCACTTAACCCCTCACAATAGGTGGCAGGGAAACTGCTGTTGGACTGGGATAACTGCCTGCCTATAAGGCTACACTCGCTGTGCTTCAAGCCTGTAGACCTTTAATTCACAAACTAATTAACAAAATTTAACAATGCCACTAGTGGCAGTTTACAACCCTGCTTCTAGTCCTCATGAGAATTAGTCCCATGGGGAGAGCCAGATTTGAAGTTAATATCATGCTGTGAGAGGTTTTTGCAGAAGTACTCACACCAACCCATCTACACTGTCTCATTTTGTTTCTCTTGTAATCAGTAGCAAAAATGTTGAACATGTGGTTTGGGATTGGGTTGAACAGGCTATAGAAAGATTAGTGCCACCATTCTTTATTAAACTCTACCTTCAACCTTGGTATGACTGACATTTTGATGTAGGAAATTATTTTTCATGGGGGGCATGTTTTTTACTTCAAATCTAGCTTTCCCCATGGGACTAATTCTCACTAGATTAGAAGCAGGCTGTAAACTGTGACAAGCAGCAAGTCACAGTAAGTTTCACAGTAGTTCAGGCCTCTACCCACTAGATGTCAGTAGAATCCTTCAGTTATGACAACCAAATCTGTCTTCAAATATTACCAAACGCCCCCTGGGAGACAAAAAAAAAAAAAAAAAAAAAAAAAAAAAAAAATGGAGGCCCCCCTCCTGCTGAGAACTGCCAGTTTAAACAAACAAAAGTCAAACAAGAACCAGGTAATATGACTACTAGACATAAGAGCTTAAAAGGAATATACTTCTCACAGTTAATTAACATAGAAGTTACAATAAGTATTATTTAATGCTTATTAACATTTTGTGTTAGACAGTAAATAATAATGTGATCAGTAATAAATAACTTTTAATTATGTCTCCTAGTTAGTAAATTACTGAAAGTAACTACTAAACTTTTTCTGTTTTGTTACTTGTCTTAAATTGTATTTGAGTATAAAATAACTCTGCAGAACTCATCTGTGCTATAAAAAGGGCTGCAATGACTTGAAAGCACAGAGGGAAAGCACAGGTAAAGTTTTGTTGTGAATTTGGATGTTGGTTATTTGAGAGTGTTGAGTATGTAAAATTTTATTGAGTATGTGAAAGATTACATACGTGGTCTTCTTATGTATTTTGTGCTTTACAAAAAGTTAAAAAAAGATTTGTCACATGGTATAGGACAGAATGATTTTTTTAAGAAACGCATAATTTTTTGGTTGGGTTGTAGTTCAGTCACAGAACACTAGCCAAGCATGTGTAAGGCCCAGGGTTTGATCCTCAGCTGTACAAAAAAAGAAAAAAAAAGTATAATTTTTCACAGTGTTATTAGTCCTATTTTTTCTATAAGAATAATAACAAAAATTTTAAAATTTCACAGTGCTAACATTTAACACTGTTATTCCAATGCTGAACTTTCTTTTAATTACTTTTTAATTAATAGTGAACATCTATTGTGCTTAGACATGGCTTAATGCTAGGAACATAGAGGTTAACAGGCCTAGTGTCCTGCCATCAAAGTGCTTACTTTTCTCTTTTTCAAACTTGGCTAATAAAAATTTCTGGAGAACAGGAGGGGGCAGTGTATAGTGAACACTAGAAAATTTCAGGATAAACATTATCATCTTTAACGGTGATCAGTTTTATTCCAGGAAAAATAATTTTACATGTCTTTATATTAAATAAAATATGCCTATTTATAGAATTGAATGTAAGTTTTCCATATTTTTAAGGCAAATATAGTAGAAAATGACATCATTTTAGGGTTTCAGGCAGGCTGCAAGTATAATATCATTTTCTCTACATTTGAGTGTACTTCCAACTTTGAGAAGCACTGCAAAATCACTACAAATAGAAATCCTATACATAGGATGCTATGGGAATATATACAGATGAAGAGCATCTGACCTGATTCTCTATTTTTCCTTCAAATTTAAGAGGCAGATATGTGTCCATACATTTTTAGAGGATCACACTTTTAAGTTCATCTTAAAGGACAAAAATAAATTAGGTTAGGAAGGGATAGGAGTAGAGATGTTGAGGGAACAGGATAGAAGGAACAGACTGGGTAAATAGAAATATGAAAGAACATGGCATACTCAGAAAAACATGCCAGGAGTTACGATTCACATTAAGTGTTGAGAATGACACAAGACCGAGACAGGATTGATTGCTAAGGACATTATTTAAGGAGTATGTTTTTTACCTTAAACTCAGTGAAGATTTTAACGTAAGGTGTGATGTCACAAAATTTGAATTTTTGAGACGTCATTTTAGCATTCTTGTTGAAGATGAATTGAAAAGGAGCCTGAACTCTAAAGTTGGGGAGTAAGAAAGGGACTACTACAATAGTTAAGCAGAGTAATAAAAGATGAAACTACAATAGAGGATGCTGTATAGAGAAGAGGGATATAGATTTGAGAGGCATTCTGGGGTAAAATGTCATGATTTCAAGACTCCATGACCATTTGCACATGTAGGAAAAGGCAGAACTTGAAGAATGGGAAATAATCTCTACATTTCAAGTTTTGGTGATTAGATGGATGCTGGTACAAATCACATTGGTAGGGAATACAGTTAGAATAATAAGCTAAAATGAGCTAGGAGCAGTGGTGCATGTCTGTAATCCCAGTGGTCTGGGAGGCTGAGACAAGAGGATTGTAAATTCAAGCCTGCATCAGCAACTCAGCAAGGTTCTAAGCAACTCAGCAA